ACACACACACACACACACACACACACACACACACACACACACACACACGAGTGTGCAGCATGACAGAAGTGTTAATTAATGGCAGGCACTGTTCATTTAGAGCAACAGAGTTTCCATTTTTCTCTCTCACGCACCTAAGAATCTTTTCCCTTAAAAACACACAGCAGGAAACTGAATCCAAGAGGGTCCAATTCGAGGTCAGGGGTAGACCGCCAGCCGTTTTTGCAGTTTTCATTACACATCTACTTGAAACCCCGTGGAACAGCCACAGCAGTATGTGTGTACTGAGACATGATTGCATCAAGAAACCTACAACCTCAACATGATCTTTAAGCTACTGAGAATGTAGTTTGAAGGATTGTGGTTTTTTAGTGTGACAACTTTATTTTCTGCCTGAAGCTACAGCTGCAGAAATGTATTTCCAAATTTGGCATTTATTCATAAAAAGTATTTTGTCAGAAATGTTTGCTATGCAACAATTTATATGGGCTCATGATAAAAATGTTATATGTAGCTGGGTATGCCCAGATACCACAAAGATTGAAGGCTCATTGTTGACCCATGTGTGCTTTGCTAGATGTGGTACTTGCATAGACAGTGCCATTTGAACTAAATCACAACCAGGCCAATTGTGGCATTAACAGTTTTGGGCCATATACTGTAAACCAAACCACAACTGGACCAGCGGTGGCATTGACAGATTTGAGCCATATAAACCAAAACACAACTGGACCAATGATGGCATTGACCGATTTGAGCCATATAAACCAAAACACAACTGGACCAATGGTGGCACTGACAGATTTGAGCCATATAAACCAAAACACAACTGGACCAGTTGTGGCATTGACAGATTTGAGTCATATAAACCAAAACACAACTGGACCAATGATGGCATTGACCGATTTGAGCCATATAAACCAAAACACAACTGGACCAATGGTGGCACTGACAGATTTGAGCCATATAAACCAAAACACAACTGGACCAGTTGTGGCATTGACAGATTTGAGCCATATAAACCAAAACACAACTGGACCACTGGTGGCATTGACAGATTTGAGCCATATAAACCAAACCACAACTGGACCAGTGGTGGCATTGACAGATTTTAGCCATATAAACCAAACCACAACTGGACCAGTGGCGGTATTGACAGATTTGAGCCATATAAACCAAAACACAACTGGACCAATGGTGGCACTGACAGATTTGAGCCATATAAACCAAAACACAACTGGACCAGTTGTGGCATGCCATCTTAAAAACGGTGCCATCATTGCCAGACCTGGCGCACATCTGGCTGGCAAACAACTTCTCACGCCAGTATTTGGCCAGCAGTGCCAGCTTGACACCAGATCTGAGCCACACCTGCCTGCTGTGTGGGTATACTTAATATAACAGACATTAAATTATTGTTGTTCRTTGAGTGGAATTTGTGTGACTAAAACTTTTTGTGTTTTAGGCAAAAGAGTGTCAGTGGAGAATTCACATAGAAGACCTGACCTCCAGACAAGAGAAGGATCTGCAAGACAGACTTACAAGACTTCGAATGTTTAGGGTGAGAATAACAAATACATTCACATGTTTGTATTTCTGTCTTTATTAGGACCTTGTATTGGGTAACATTTGTTTTCAGTCATTTTTGTAGCCTAACCCTAAACCTAACCACCCCCAGTACATACCTAATCCTAACCCAACAATGGCATTCCACCATATTAAGACTAGACCGTACACACACACACACACACACACACTACATTTCTATCCTCAGGAGGACATTGTAATGCCTTTCATTCATTCTGTAGACTATCCAAATGATCATGTACCAAACCCTAACACTAACCCTAAACAATGTTCTACCACTAAAATCTACTGGTCCTAACAAGGTAGGAAATTATACAAGAAAAGATTCTTAAAATGTAACAAAAAATAGGTACACAAAAAATAACAATGTAATGAGCTGATTTTCATCTTCATGCTGCTTTTCATGCCTGCATTTAAACTATCATGAGAAATGACAACTGGATTTGGATTTGTTTTGTAGGGGTGCAACAATACATGTACCCGTATCGAACTGTACCGAACCGTATCGAACCGTGCTGTATCGAACAATACAGATTTTAAAACTTTACTTTATCAACTTGTCTTCTGAAGATGCTCTGTGTTAAAGGATCAGTGGATCTGTGTTAGACTACTCCACCTAGGCTGCATTTTTGAGCGCAGGTCCACTGAGAAACTTGCTGATTCAGCAACATTTAATTCAAAAGCTGTACTTTTGAGGTTAAACAAATGTTCATAATTAACATAAATAAATCACAAGTTAAAAAGGGGCATGGAAATTTCTCTTTTTTGTATCAAAAAAATATCGAACCGTGAGACTAAAGTATCGAACCGAACCGAACCGAACCGAACCGTGAATTTCCTGTATCGTTGCACCCCTATTGTTTTGGTAAAATGTTGAAAATGACATAACGTGTAATCTTACCAGATAAACTATCTGTCAGCACTTAGAATACTTAGAATACAGTATGTGTTGGAGGTGACTCTCAGCTATGCTCACATCAAATTTGAGATCGATATCTTTGAAACACTTCTGACTATTTTTGATTTTGAGAAGGTCAAAAGCGTTGGTCAGGGATGACATCACAAGAATTTCCAGACAAAGTTCACAGCGGACTGCATACATCATGCCTGAATCCAAAGCTTTTTTTTCCATGTAAACATAAATGAAGATGATTTTCCAGGCACCAAAACTGAGTATGGTTGTATAGAGGGATGCAGCAACACTCAACGAAAGCATTGGCTACAATGTAGAGGACTGATAATGGCAACTATGTTGAACTGAAAAAAGATAAGTGTTTTGTTCCTGCATTGTTACTCGGCATTAGCCATTAGCTGTTAGCAAGCTATGTTGTGTGTCCTGTAGCAACAATGCTTTACAGATATCATTTTTAAGCTCTTTGTTGTTGGTGCACCACAACTTCTGCAATGGACTCAGCTCCAGTTCAGCTCGACTGACAACCAGAGACTTGCTGATGTCACATATTGCATAGGGAGCTATTTTTGGTAACTCTGACCAATGCTATTTGCTGCAACAGCCATCTTAAAATGAATTGGCTCAAAAATGTCATCAGGTGCAGATCCAATTATTTCTACAAAGTAAAAAAAAAATTTAAAAGTGCAATATGTCTTCATTTTGGAGATACCTGGAAGTGAAGCAGCTACAGTAGAGTTYTTCTCCTGTGAAGACAAGAACGAAAAAGAAAAAAAAACTTTCAAACAAATTTAACATTATTTTTTAGGTGTTTGAATTCTTTATTATTTTTACGTCTTACCATGAACATGACTGAAGCAGGAAAACAGTGGTCCAAGGCTAAAAAGAATGTTTCAGGCACAGAGTGGGAGTTCCAATGGTCCTTTGACCCCTCTACTTCCTGCTGCCTTATTCCTCCACATAATCTGAGTCTTAGCTAACTTCTGTTGTCAAATCAAGCATCCACAAGCTAATTGTGAGACTGAACATTGCAGTCTGAATACATCTGCAGCCACAAGACTTCTAATGGACCAAAGCTTCTGCTGTACAAACAAGCAACAGTTTCTGACACTGAGGGGTCTTAGAGGATATCATCTAGTTGTTTATTAAAGTCTTTAACCACCTTAACAAACTGAACACTTAAGTGCTCAACAATTTATGTTGATCTTTTTCTTCAGGAGTTCCAAAGAAAGGTATTAGAAGAGGAGATCGGCATAGAAGGCGAGGCTGCCTGCCAACTCCTGGCGAGGATGTAGATTCTCCACAGAACACCAACTTACCAGCAACACCTCGGCATGCACTGGAAATTTTGTGCATGTGCATCTTTTTTGGCTAGCATCAACTTACAGCAACTAATGCCATCTTAAATCATTATGCTGGCAATTCAAAATCTGTGTGACTGCTTCTTAACTCTTGTGAAAAAATGTATTAAAAAATACAACATCTTCATAATTCTGTAGATCAAGACCATAGAACCATACTATATTGTCAGGTAACTGCACAAAATGCATAATTACATGAAAATAAGTTAAGGTTGTTGTCATTTTTTATGTGAAAATGAAGAAAAAAAAACAGAAAGAAAAAACATTCAGTGAAATCTTTGGAAAGACCTACAGTAGCACATCCCCTCATGTCACCCTCCATGTAATGGGGTGTGCACCAGCTGTGTTTTGTGCCTGTGTGTGTTGACAAGTGTGGGTTTGTGCGCATATGTACAAATATGCATATGCATGTAAGACTCCTCATCTCATTCTTGTCTGATTGTAATGTAAAATACCTGATTATGTATTTTAAGGTGCAGCCTGAGGCTAACACTGAAAGTCCAGTCTGTTCTGTTCTGTATTTTTGTAATAAGTTTTAATTTCCTGTAACGCTGAGAGTGTCTGCTCGGCATTTAGCTTATAAGACACTACAGAAATCTAGTTTCCCGGTTCTGTATCGTCTTTTCTCTGATCAGCCAATCAAACGATGAGAAAATGTTGACGCTGTCTGAAGCCAGCTAGCAGGCTCTGGGGTCTCATTTATAAAAGATTGCGTGGAAACCATACTAAAAGTGAACGTACAGCCAAAAAGGCGAAAATGACGTATGCCAAAAAAAAAAAATTCAGAATTATAAAACCGTGCGTACGCATGTTTCTGCGCATCTTTCCTTTATAAATCACAGCAGCATGTCAGAGTTTGCGCACGAGGTCCCGCCTCAGGTTCTACCCTCTACACGCCCACACTCAACCATTAACAGTCAATGCAAAGTACCTCATGAATGTTAAGATGTATTTAAATCAGTCAGCTGAGCAATGCCAACAAAAGTGATTGGTTCAGACACGCTCCGTGTGTCTGGAGGATGACAGGTGCTGACTGACAACTGCTCACGTGAACAGAATGTCTGTAATTGACACAGATTTTCCCTCGTTTTGCTTTAGAGTAATCTAACAATTTTTATTTTTAAAATTAGTTTCAAATTAATTTTCCCTCAGAGCCTGCAGGACGACAAAAACAATAAAAATTAAATTAAATAAGTCAGATAAAATTAGAAATAAGTCCACCGTTCTTCTTCTCGTCCTCTCCCCCTCCTTCCTGCTCTGTTATCCGCGGCAGACACCCACCCCCCGCGTACACACACACACACACACACACACACACACACACACACACACACGTGTGACAAATACAGACTTTAAACGTGAAAGTTTATAACATTCACACTGGCGAGGTGGATGCGCCCTGCGCTTGTATCCAAAACGTGACTTTTGCTGTCATGCTGTTCTTGTCGGGGAGGGGTCTGTGGGTCAGGGAGGGGTCTGTGTGGGTCAGGGTCGTCTGAGGAGGAACCAGATGAAGGGAGTTGCGCACGGGAACATTTATTTAAGATTTAAGTTTTTTATTTTATTTCAAAGGTCCTCATGGCTCAGCAGCAGAAGCATAAATATTACTGTCAAGAAAGCTGATGATAAAGTTGAACAAAAATCTAAGTCTGATGAAGGTAAATTAAATATCTGACAGTGATCATTACACAGTGTGGCTCTAATTCCTCACTTCACCATCTGTGTTGCAGCTTCCCGTCTCCAAAATGAGCGTACGCATGGGTCAGAGCTGGCGTGAGGGACCGCACATTTTCACGTCAAGTTTGGATTTTATAAATAACAACCTTGGCGTGAAAAGTGGTGTACGCAAGTTTCTGGGCTCATATTGTGCGTACGCAAGTTTTATAAATCCGACCCCTGGTGTCTTCCCCTCAGCACCTGATCGGTCAAAGCAACAGTATCGCTGCCATGTGTTTCACCCTCCAGGTGCCTTCACTGTTTCTTCTGAAGGCCCGAGGCAGATTTGTGGACCATAGCAGCCGATGATGATCGAAATATGATTGGATAAAACCTCTAAAATAAATAAAAGCTGCTGGAAGCTGTGCAGCCAAGAGAAAAGTCATGAAACAAAGAGAATAGATGTTTAAAAAATAATTATATCCTAACAATAATATTAATAACTATTATAATAAATATATTAGTGATTCTGATTGTGTTTAGGCCAGCAGAGAAGGCTTTGCTGGCCCTGACGGCACACCACTGAGCTCATCACACCCCACTAAAAGACTTTGTCCAGTTCATTACTTGTTCTTTCAATGCACCTGTTATAAAAAATATCCCTTTTAGTCTACGGCTTGTTTTCACAGCAGATGTTTCAAAGCATCATAGCCTTCAATGTCTAATGAATTCCAGTTAGGTGAGCTAGTTCTATGCTTCTATAGTTGTACATACCTGAGGCATGTTGATGGAGCATAATAACTTAACTTGTTTCACCTGGTTTTCCAGGTACTGCAAAAAAAATCAATCAGCTGAGGTGAACACTTGGTGTGCAGGACATGTACCTTTGCTCCTGAGTCACTGACATAATAATATTATTGTGTGATCAGAAAAAAAATTTAATAACTGCACTGAGTTAAAGGTTAAGAGTGTCGTACTGAGTGACAACAGATGAAGTAACAGAATCTTTTACAAAAACAGAATCTTGAGCCACCTAATATCCACAGCCAGTTACTGTGGATATTGGGTTTCGTGAAGCCCACAGCGATGTCTGTTCTTGATGTTCTGTTTATTTTTCTGCTCATTTTTGCTACTTATTACCCAAGAGTGCAGGCTGAGGTATTAAACGTCTCTATGTCCCAAAGAACTCAGAAGCAGCAAGGTAAAAACAAATCAGGGCAAGCCAGGAATTAGCCAGAGGCAGAAAACAAACAAAGACATGGAAACAATGGGATTGCCTTTTGATACCAGTCTTTCCAAATGTGCTGTGGGAGCAGGTATCTGTAGAGGCCCTCACAAATTAGAATCTCTCAACCAAGTGCCACAATGATGCCAAGAAAGCACTTTAATTCTAGATAAGTGTGTTTAGGAAGAGGAATCAGTGTACTACTAATAGGTTTTATCCTGGGAATGTTTCCATTTCCTGCTTTGTAAAGGTCTGAGAAGTTCAGCCAACTTTACAGTTTAAACTATGCTATATCCAGTTACATTGGGTACAATAAAAGCTAAAAACTAAAAAAAAAAAAAAAAAAATACAGCTCAGCAATGCTAAGGCAGTGTTTTCTCTTGTTCCAGGCTTTGACTATGTTGTTTGACATCAGTAGAGATGTGACATTTACGAACAATCCAGATAGTTTGAACGGCTCTTTTATAACGAATGATAAACACAGACTTGCAGACAGTAGAGTCGTTCGTGGTTTATTTTTTTTTAATCCTCGTAATATATTTTTTTCCTCCTTAACCACAGAAACAATCGCTCCTCCTTCCCTTTTTCACATGGTACTGCCCACATGATGCAATGAGGTCATCACTCATTCATATTAATTAAACAGCTTTATTGAACAACTCTATGAAAAAAGGGATTGTCAAGATCTGGGTCCCCTCAAAGAGCCATTTGTCCCATTTCTCCGGCACAGCTTTTTCTCCTTGTCTAAATCCCAAACTTTAAAAAAAAGTGTTTTTAAACCAGTCACAATGTTTTGCCCCTTGTGGTCAACGGGATAAAATACTCATGGTACTCAGTCTTACGTTTTGATCAAGCTAATGCATTGCACAAACCTACATCACCTGTCAGCATTTCTCATTTTTATAGCAAGTTAAAAAAAAGATATATTGTAATAATAATGCCCATCCTTTGTTGGAATGTAGATGTGCCAATAAAATTGAGAGCTTTGACTTTTGTCTTAGCTTTTGTTACAACAGACCCGAGCAATGTCTTCAGTAATGCTGGGTATTGGAGTTGGTCCAACAAGTTTTTTTTTCTGCTGAATGAGCATAAATTTCCTTTTGATAATCCAGAAAGAGAAAACATTCATACTTTGTTTATACTTATGTTTGTCCGTGTTATCATGTCTCAGCCTAATCAAACATCAATGACTTATGACAATAAATAATCAAAGACGAATATAAAATTGAAACTTAAATAAATATCCTAATTGTTAAATTATCTATAAATTTTTATTTTGGATTATTTGATTGAAAAGGTGCTTCCGAACTCTTCAGTACTCTGAGTAGGTCTGGACCACTGGGGAGTATTGATGAAATATACATTTGGGATTCCTCTCTTGTTTTTGTCCTGTGTATGTGAAGTTAATCAGAATGATGCAAATGTCCCGTAATTCTTTTTTTAAGAAAGGGTGTTTCCTTATAGCAGTAGTTCCCAAAATTGGGTTTGAGACTCCTGTGTGGGTCATGAAATATCAATTGAGGGTCCCCAGATGATTTCCTGATACCAGTTTAAATGTAAAAAAAAATGTTAATGAAATATTTTCAGCAGAATTATTGCAAAAAAAAAAATAAATAAAAGAAGTATTGTAATTAATAGGTTAGCTTATATTGTTCATGTTTAACACTTATTATGTTTGAATACCAGTAATATCTAAGGTCACAAGTTTCTGCAGCTGTTAATTTGTGGCCCAAAAGCAGAAAAAATTGAAAATCACTTCCTTAAAGCACAAGTTACACTCTTTCGTTAAGAGATGTTTCACTGTATGTCCATGTCATCTGTAACAACGTCATGAATCACGTCTGTTTCCTGCCCAAGTCCTGTCACAGTCAATTATCTCCTAATTGTTTCTCCCCTCCCATCTCAGCCAACCATAATCAACGTCATGCAACTYACCYGTGTTCACTAGTATTTAAGCTTCTCTCATCCACAGCTCCAGTGCCAGTTTTATGAACAGTTCTGCCTAGTAATTATCCAGCATTCATGTCACAACTTGCCTGTCTCGTCTCGGCCTTGGTTCTCCTCACTGGTTCTTTGCCTCTCGCCTTGCCCCTGAATGGTACCGTCCTGGACTCTGCTCTCCTGGTTTTGAACCCCGCTCTGGACTCTGGATTTCTGCCTCCTGCCTCGCTCCCCATCGGAACTGTTCTGCTTTCTGCCTCCCAGATTCCGACCACTGCCCACCTGCTCCAACCATGAGTTAAGTCTGCTCCTTCTAACCTGGTTCTGCTCTCAGTCTGCCTGTGTATGACCCCCTGCCTGTCCCACGGATTACCCCTGGACCTCTAAG